ACAAGTTCACTTCCGGTTCGGATAGGAAGTACCGGAAACACACGAAAACAACTTCGAAACAAAGAGAATGTCATGATCTAATACTCCTGTAAATTTCACATCTTTACCTTGAACCGTTTCCGAGAAAAATTCCGGACAAAAGTCCATTTAAAAATTGTACAAAATGACCATGTCAACTTGTCTACACTTTTAATACATCTTTATATTCAAATTTCATCAAAAGATAAAAAAAATTCAGCTATATTAAGTATATCTGTTATTTTACGCATTGCAAGCGCGCGCACGTGCATGCATGTCCATGATGACCGTGTCATCTTGTCTACACCATTAATATATCCTTATATCCTGAGTATCAAAGCATTTCATCAAAAGATATGAAAGTTGTGGCTATATCAAGTATATTTGTCATTTTACTCATTGCACGCGCACGCACGTGCATGCATGTGTGCGCTGATCAAGTCTTCTTGTCTACACTTCTAATATATATTCATATTCTGAGTTTCAAAGCAATTCATCAAGAAATGTACAATTTAAGTCTATATCAATTGTATTGGTTATTTCAATCAATGCGCATGCGCGCACGTGCATGCATGCGCATTCTGACCATGTCATCTTGTCTACACTATTAATATATCCTTATATTCTGAGTATCAAAGTATTTCATCAAAAGATATGAAAGTTATGGCTCTATCAAGTATATTGATCATTTTACTCATTGCACGCGCACGCACGTGCATGCATGTGCGCGCAAAATGACCTTCGTTCCGCAAATCTACATAACATTCCTATTAACCCTAAAAAGGTTTCACCTCCATCGGATGTGTAGTTTCGGAGATCACTCACGGACAGAAAAGTACCCAGGAAGAAAAATAATAATAACTAGAAACTCATTGCGAGCAATGAGAGGTCTTCCGTCCGATTCTGAAATAAATACGAAAATTCAAGCTGAAAAAGTGATAAAAGAAATTCAGATACTCTGGAGATTTATCCCTGGTCGTCAGCGTGAAAATCCAATGTGCTAAACATTAACCATTCACTTTTTTGCATCACTTCCTGTCACGACCGGAAGTAACGGCGACACACGATTTTCATACGATGCAAATAAACTGATGACGTACTATCAGTCCTGAAAGTTTCAGACTTCAGTCGTTTATTGTTGCCGAGCAATTGTGAGAACAAATTCTAATTTTGAGGACAGGAAAACACGCGACCGGAAGTGAATTTTATAAAAAATCCCTAACGTGTCTCTAGACATTTGCAGTGTCTACAACATGTATTAAAACATTTCAATTCTTTTTCTATAAGCGATATTTATGAGAAAGTTTAATATCGAAAGAACGTATTTTATCTCCTAAAACCGGAAGTTCACGTTTTTGTTTCCGGAGGAGTCTAACATATTTCAAAACAGCGAAAGAGATGCAATAAGGTGATGCAAGTTTTAATTTAAACAAGAAAAGTTGAATTTTTTGATTTCTTTGATCACTTCCTGTGACGACCGGAAGTGACGGTTGACAGTTTAACCCAAATGATTTTGCCTACTCTTCAAGGTCTATTACTCATATAAGTTTGTTGGCTTTATCTCTTACCGTTTCTGAGATCTCTCTCAGATATTTTCTCACTTTAAGGACAGAAAAACACTATTAGAAACCCAACATCATTCCCTCCCACACTGGCCTCTCGTTTTTTTAAACAATATTTGATGTACAAAGATTAGGCATTTTTGTCTCTTTATTTATCTAATATTGACAACTCTCTCCGACCATTAAAAACTATGAAAGTACTTCTTGTATTATAAATGATCAAAATTCTTGTACTATTCTCTTATTAAATTGAGTTTACAATTACATTATTTACAGTAATTAATTATCACAGGTGAAAAGCAAAAGGGAAAAACTTCTCTCAGTAGACTAAAAATTAACATAGCCTCACCCTAGCACCAGAGGCCCTAGACCAAGGGCCCGAGAAATTCACAATTTTTGACAAGGTACCCTTGCTCATCAGAACCATGTACTAAGTATGTTTGCCTAACACCCAGGGACAGAAAAGATTTTCAAAGAAATAATGCATTTTCATGATATATTCAACAGAGCCCCACCGTAACATCAGAAGTCCTGACCCAGGGCTATGAATTTCTTAGTTTTGGAAGAAGCTTCCTTGCTCATCATAACTATGCAATTTGTCTGCTAAATACCCAGGGGCAGAGAAGAAGATATTTAGAGAATTTATGCATTTTCAATTTAATCTATAGAGCCCTGCTTGACTACTAGAACCCCTGACCCAGGGGCCATGGAATTCACAATTTTGGAAGAGACACACCCTTGCTCATCATAACCATGTACATAGTTTATCTGCTGAATACTAAGAAGCAGAGAATAAAAGTTTCAGAGAATAAATGCATTTCACTATATAATCAATAGAGCCCTGCCCTAAAACCACAACCCGGGGCAATGAAATTCATAATATTGGACGAGGCAACCTTGCTTATCATAACTATGCACTTACTTTGTTTTCTTAATACCCAGGATGAGTTGATTTTCAAAGAATTAAATGTATCTTTACTATATAATAAATAGAGCCCCCCCCCCCCCCCCCAAACATCAGAACCCCTGATCCTGAGGCCACAAATTTCACAATTTTGGAAGAAGCACCCTTGTTCACTATAACAATGCATTTAGTTTATCTTCTTAATATACAGGGGGAGAGACGAAGATTTTTAAAGAACTTATGCATTTTCACTATCTGATCATTAGAGCCCCATCCTAACCCCAGAATCCCTGATCCTGGGGCCATGAAATTCACAATTTTGGTACAGGGCTCAATACTTATTACAATCATGCCAACAGTCTGACTGCTTGATGTCCAGGAGTTATGAAGATGTTTAAAGATAGCAGTACTTTTTGTTGGTTTTATTATAGCCCCACTCCTCAGGCCCCATTAGGGCAGGACCATGAAATTCACAATTTTTGTTCCTCTTTAGCCATTGATGCTATATGCCAAAATTGGTTGAAATTGATTGTGTAGTTCAAGGGAAGAAGCTGAAAATGTTCAAAAGTTTACGACGGATGACGACGGACAAAAATAGATTAATAAATGTGAATCTGAGTTTTTTTTCCTTTGGTTTGGTTTGGTTTGTTTTCTGATGTTGAATGTAGAGAACTGTAAAACAGAATTTTTTTTAATTCTGACATGAACCTGGTATTAATTAAATTAAAATGTCGGGGGAGAAGTCGTTAAGGAATTTGATCGTTGTTGAAGTTAATTTTCAGCAATAAAAGTTGAAATTCTCTGGAATATATAAAATTAACATTTTTTCAGATATTAATCAAAAGTATTAAGTATTTCGAGAATGAAACTTTTACTTAAAATGCAAAAACATTCCTGGATTACCATTATGGAAGTTAAATTTTTATGTCTTGTTCATTTTGTTATATGACCATTCACGGTAGCACAGTTGGTAGAGCGCTCGCTCCATGACCGGGAGGTCGTGAGTTCGAATCTCGGCCGCAACTGACCAAGGTCCTTAAAATTGGGTAGCAACTGTTCCTTCGCCATGCACTCGGCACTTTGAAGTGAAAGTTGCGAGTCCTTCGGATGAGACCTTAAAAACCGAGGTCCCGTGTCAAGGCAGGCGTTGGCACGTTAAAGATCCCTCACTGCTCAATGGCCCTGAGTGCCCAGTAAAGGTCAAAATTTGAAGCCCTTCACTGGTATATGGTGACGTCTCTATATGAGTGAAAAATACTCGAATGGGACATAAAAAAACAATCATTTTGTTATGTTGAAAGTATAAAGGTCTTACTTATCGGACTTGAAACTAAGATCGATCATATTAGATTCCATGGTCAGTGTTAGGTAATTTTCAGGTCTGCAAGTTTTTTGTGCAATTTAAAACAAAAACGTTATGGAAGTTGATTTATTTTCTGCGATAAGCTATGATTTTGTATTAAACAAGATCTATGCATTTCTTTGCGAGAGGTTTGTTTTCTTTTTATGTGGGATTTTTTTTCTTTAAAATTGCATGCAATTAATTCGGAACACTTATGCAACTAAAAATTTCTTGAAAATTTGTAAATGGGTGAAGCGACAATAAGATTTGCATTGAAATAGGTTTTTGAACATTATATTATGTTCATGTCAAGATGTAGCTGCATATTTTATTTATAAAACCATGTATGTATTTGCAGTTTTGAGTTAAAACCGATCTTTTAAATTATAAATATGATATAACAATGGTAAATTTGTAAGCAACCGATTTTTTATGCCCCCCTTCGAAGAAGGGAGGGCATTTTGCTTTGCTATCTGTCGGTCGGTCTGTCTGTCTGTAGTTCCACCAAGTTTCCGTTCATTTTCTTCGCAGAGGTTGCATACACTGAAATGATATTTGATAAAGAGATTTATCATAAAAATATCTAGGTTAAGTGCTGTTTTGGGTACGATCGAGCAATTTTTGACAGAGTAATGCCCCTTGGACTTAGAAAAATTCCAATCATTTGCAGTTTCCGTTCATTTTCTTCGCAGAGGTTGCATATACTGAAATGAAATTCGGTATACAATTAATCTTAAGAAAATCTAAGTCAAGTACTGTTTTGGGTACGATCGAGCAATTTTTGACAGAAGTATGCCCCTTGGACTCAGAATTTTTTTTAATTATTTGCAGTTTCTGTTCATTTTCTTCGCATAGGTTGCACATACTGAAATGAAATTCGGTATACAGATTTATCATAAAAATATCTTGGTCAAGTTCTGTTTTGGGTACGATCAAGCAATTTTTGACAGAGTTATGCCCCTTGCATTTAAAAAAATTCCAATTATTTGGGAGGGGGGATAAGTGTTTCACAAATATCTCTTGTTTTGATTTAGTCACGTTTTATAGAATGACTTATTTGTGTTTAACATGTGTAAAATCAGTTGTTTCATATTCATAAATGTGTAATTGATTAACAGGATAAATTATCATCATTATACATTTACAAACTTTTTCTTATAATCCTGCAATTTAGGCAACAATTTCTACATCCATGGCGGAGTTGAATCCATGGACAGCAAGACACCTTCTAACAGGCTTTATCAGTTGAGTAGTTCTGAGGGAGCTTGGACAGAGCTTTCCTTCCCAGGAAGCCCCTCTCTCAGTCATCATGCAGCTGTAGACATAAATGATAGATACATCATTTTGATTGGTGGGTGGAATGGAAAGTCACGCTCCTCAAAAATCTATGCTTTTGACACTGAAAAACAGCAATGGACTGAACCAACAGTGACAGGTTTTCCTGAAGATGGGGGACTGAGCTCACATACAGCCACTGTTCTTAATTCAGGCAAAATTTTGATCTTAGGACGTGAAGGAAGCCTTCGGATGCAGCGCCGTCATGGTAGCATGTACTTGTTGTCAGGAAGTGTGGAGTCAGGGAGATTTATATACAGGGAATATACTCAAGCTACAGCATCTAGGTCAGGTCATACAGCCAACGTAATTGGAAATGTACTGTGTATTGTTGGAGGTAGGGACAGTAACCTTATAGAAATACATACAGGATTTAAATCACTAAAATCACCAGCACCAGTAACCAATCAAATTACCAGAATTGTGGACAAACTCCCATCTGTATCTAAAACACCTGCTGGGAGAAAAAATCATGTATCTGTTGTTTCCCCTGGGGCAATTTTAATTCATGGTGGAGAAACCTTTGATGGAAGAAATAGGGAACCTGTTGGAGAGATGTTAATTTTTGCCACGAAACCCTGCAATACTTTTTATAAAGTGGGTGTGTCTGAAGTGAAGAGGGCTGGACATGTGTGTGGAGTTGTTGGGGATGAAATTATTCTTCATGGGGGATTTGGGGGCAAAAAGCAGTTGTATGGAGACACTTTTTTTCTAAAATTTAAAAAGTAACGTTTGAAAGATCACCAATCTAATTAAAATCAGACTTTTTAGATTCGCACCCTATACACTCTGCTTAAGCAGTGTTTATACAGCACCGATCTAAGAAGTCTAATTTTAATTAGAGAAAGATCACCTAATCAAAGTACATTTAGCTATTTGAACAGTACTATCCTATTTTATAATTTTCCTGACTTCTTAAAATGTTGTTACGAGAATTTTTTTTAGCATTGTTAATATTTGTCTTTTTATAGTATAATGTAATGAAATTTTTAGCTCACCTTAGCCGTAAGATCAAGAGAGCTTTCCTGATTTAAAAAATTTGATAAAAAAATTATCAACGCTCCGTTGTTGTACTTGGCATCGTCGTTGTAAACTTTTCAAAATTTCATCTTCTTGACTTCTCCAGAAGACTAAGCCAATTTCAATTAAACTTGACACAGATTATCCTTGGGTAAAGGGGGTTCAAATTTGTTCAGTTGAAGGGCCATACCTTTTCCAATGGGAGATTATTAAGAAATAGTACGAATAGGGTGGGGTTATTTAAAAATCTCTTCTCAAGAACCAATGGGCCAGAAAAGATGAAACATAAGGAAGCATCTTCAGGTATTGTAGGTTCAAGTTTGTTAAAATCATGACCCCTGGGGGTAGGGTGGGGCCACTATGAGTGCACAAAGTTTTATATTGGTATATATATGAAAAATCTTCTCAAGAACAGCAAAGCCATGGTTAGTTAATGGGCAATCAAAGTTTTTCACAGAAAAAATCTTTTATTACATATCTTTTTCCCAGGAACAGCAAAGTCATGATAAGTCAAAGTGTAGATTCAGTTTTCTTCAAATCATGATGTATGGGGGGTAAGGATGGGGCCACTTTGGGTTTTACTTAGGAATGCATGTGAAAAATCTTTAAAAAGGTCTTCATCTCAAGAACAGCAGTCATGATTAGTTATATTTATATGGAAGCATTATGAGGTACTGTAGATTCAAGTTTGTTTAAATCATGACCCCCATGGTAGGATGTGGCCACTATAGGCGATCAAAGTTTTACATATGAATATAAAGGAAAAATCTTTAAAATCTTCTAAAGAACAGCAAAACCATTATTAGTCATATTTTTATGGAAGCATTCCCAGGTAGTGTAGATTCAAGTTTGTTCAAATCATGACACCTGGGGGTAGAGTGGGGAGGCTACAATATTTCTGAATTTTACATTGGAATATCTAGGGTAAAGAACAGATGTGCTAAGTTTAGTAAGGTGAGCATTGTGGCCTATGGACCTCTTGTTTGTTATGGATTCACATTGTCAAAACTTTGTTAAAATAGTATTTTAAAGGCAATAATGATGTATATTTTTAATCTGCAGATATTCCTGGGTTTGAATAAAGAGCTCATAATAAAACTTTCAAGCAATACTGAAATCAGAGCTTTATTTTTAAATAAAAGTTCATGAAGAAAGAAGAATGTGGAATTGCATGTGAGACTTCTTGAAGTATAATATCAAATCAAAAATGAAATTGACCCTACCATATATAAAAACACAGAAAGCACAGAGAAATTTGAACAATTTGTCTCCTAGCAGTGCTGGAACAGCGGGCTAGAAAGCTGGGCCATCTAGGCAGGTCAAAAAACTTACATGTACTTTCTAATCTGATGGAATTCTCGCAGTGTGTCATGACCTTGACCAAGGTCATTTGGGCAGTTCAAGGTCATTGAAAGAAAAAGTTCATAATTCGTGTCCAGTCCATATCTTCTTATGGATAAACTTGGTGAGTTCCCTTTTTCCACAAAGATTGCTTATGACCTGAGGGTGTATAATGACCTTGACCCAAGGTCATTTAGGCAAGTTCAAGGTCACTGAAAGAAAAAGTTCATAATTTGTGTCCGGTCCATATCTTTCTTATGGAGAATAATGTTGGGATGTTGGGAGTTTCCACTTCACACAAAGATTGCTTATGACATGAGGGTGTGTCATGACCTTGACCCAAGGTCATTTGGGCAAGTTCAAGGTCACTGACAGAAAAAGTTCATAATTCATGTCCAGTCTGTATCTTTCTTATGGAGAATAATGTTGGGATGTTGGGAGTTTCCACCTCACACAAAAATTGCTTATGACCTGGGTTTGTGTCATGATCTTGATCTATAGTCACTGTAGAAAAAATAGATAAATAATGCATCCATACTTTCCAGCAGAGAAATACTTGAAAAATTGTTATTTATTTGTTCAATGTAATAAAAAAGATGTTATTATAAGTATTGATGTTTTATAAGGCTGCACCCTAGTTTCATTCATTAAAATAATTTAATGAGCAATCACCAGTAAATTTTCACTCTAAATGTTTAATCAAATTGTGAGCACCTCTTAGATCCATCAAAAACTTGTATTAGTGACTTGGCACCTTCTCTGAAAACCCTGCGGGGGTTTTGTCCCTTTTGGACATTTCTAGTTTTATTTAGAAGATCGTTACTGATACGTATCGCAATTAAATTAATTAACATTATTTTTAAGCATATTTAATTTACAGTGACTCTTAAACTAAAATAGCTGCAATAGTTCAAGAAATATTGATATAGAAAGCACAAGGAAATTCACTTTCTATGGATACTCACTTTATAAGGATACTCTCACCCGCCCCCGTTTCTTTACGTTTTTAGTTTCGGTAGTTTCCGTAAGTTTTCGTATCCTCAGACTAATTGGTTACTTCATGCATGAGCACGTTTGTGCTCACTATAAATATCTTTAACCAGCAATTACGAAATGCGGATTTCAAACGAGGTTGTTGAAATCTCTGTAATATCAACTTATTTGTCAGTAACCTACCTCTGTTTAAAGAATTGATCGTGTTCAGAGCATGCTCTTGAGTATCAGAATAATATGAGAATAAGTTGAGAGAAATAAACACCATATGCAGATGACAGTGGAATGTTACAACATATAAAAGTAAAGTTGACGATGGAAAAGCTTAGGTCATCTTGTTTGTCATACAGAGCAGTTATTAGTTGGCCTTTATCGTATATAGTCAGAAAACATCGAAATATGAAACAGGGGTGGTAGGATCTGTAAGGTGGCGAGAAAAAAAGTTTTTAAATTACTACATGCATTTATGTCTTTCCGACATTACCTCAATTGTTTCCAGATTTTCACAAAATATGAGGCACTTTCTTCTATTTTGAATCTCGCGCATGATCTGCTCTAATCGACACTCTCTCCAAACCAGTTTTAGGATAAGTACTATAGATTTAAATCGACAGGAAAGGCAATCGATTAAAGAAACTATTTTGAAACTAAAGTTATAAGAAACTAGTGCTAATTGTAACGGGAACCGTTATAGATGTTCCCCAAACACTCCCCCACTCTCTTATTGGCTCCATTCCCTACAAGTCCTTTGAGTATTAGCTAATCAGATTTCAGTACAAGTGCATGTCCATGTTTTCGGGATATTTCACATATCTTCCTGATAAAGAGATTCACAATAAACATGATAAATATCTATGTAAGAAATCTCATACATTTTCATTGAAAACTATTAGAGATACAGCGTTATAAGTATTAGCCAATTAAAATCCATCACACGTGCCTGCATATTCTTGCATTCAATTTTGATAGTTATCACAATTTAGGAAATCGTTTTATATATCTATTCTCTAAATTTCGTTCTGTTTTGTTGAAAACTAAGTAAGTTACAGCCATTTAAAAGTTAAGCCAATCAAATTGCAGCAAACGTGCATGCGCGCCTTTTCACGATATCTCATATTTCATAATGCAGATCCTCCTTATGTATGACTATGTTTTAAATTTCAAATTATTTCGTCAAAAACAAGAAGGTTATTGAGATTTTTTGTGTCAGCCAATCAGAGCGACAACACATGCGTGCGCATGCTTTCTTGCTAATTCAACCACCTCTTCCTGTCTTCACCACTAATATATGTTTATATAATAAGGTTCAAAGCGTATCATCAAAAAATAGGAATGTAAAGCTGTTTCAATTGTATCAGTCATTTTGCTCCTCGCACGCGCAAGCACGTGCATGCAAGTGCGCACAAAACGATCTTCATTCCGCACATCTACACAACATGCTTGTTAACCTTAAAAAGGTTTCATCTCAATCGGATGAGTAGTTTTCGAGAACACTCGCGGACAAAAAAGTACCGGAGAAGAAATTTTGAAAAAAATAAAAACATAAGATATGATAATCCCCCCCCCCCTTATGACAACTCGTGGCCAAGATTTAAGTTTTGGGGAACATAACAAGATGTGATATCCCCCTCCCCCACCTTTATGACAACTCGTGGCCAAGATTTAAATTTCTCAAATGCAAGTCAAACTCCAAGATTGTTTGACCCAAAAAGGTTACAAGGAATACACATTTGAAATATGAAAGCCTATACACCCACCATTCAGAAATTATGGTCAATATTAAAGTATTTTTATGTCACGTTCCAAGACCAAAGAACATGTAAAGAGGCTAAAAATACTGGTACTTAAGTAAAGGTCTTGTTACAAAGAATATTCAATGCATCCCAAATTTTTAGTCAATGCACCTCCTATAATTTTGAACAAAGCGCCCATGACAAAATTTTATAGAAAATAGTCGTTACGAAACCGTCCCCAAGTATCGGTAAATGCACCCTGAAGTTTTGGTCAGCACTCCGCTGATATATCTTTAGCTCTTCTGAGCCAAAGGCTCAAAGGACTAATGCTATGACCATTTGTGCGGTGTGCGTAAACTTTTTAGAATATGGGCCATAACTCAATAACCCCTTGGCCAATTATTGTCAAATTTGTCACAGGGTATCCTTGGCCCAAGGGCTCCCGTTCACACTAAAACTAGGGTTGTGACCCTTAAACAAGGGGAGATAATTAGGAAAATAGAATCAAAAGTACCGGTTGTTAAAGAATCTTCTTCTCAAGAACCGCTGGGCAGATTATCACCAAAGTTACACAAAGGATGAGGATATGTTGTAGATTAAAATTTGCAAGGGGAATCGCCCTGGGGCAAAGGGCATGGTCTCAAGGTCACTTCAAAGTTGACCAAAAATTACTATATTAAAATGTTGATATTTTGCTTACTATAAGGACTAGGATCATCAAATCTTGTTAGTTTATGCATCTAAGGACCTTATATCGTGTTGACTCAAAAGTAGGTCACGGTGACGTACTTTTAAAATTTTATGGCTAATCTTTC